ACAGATCGCCTCTATTTTTTAAAAATGGTATGGAACATTAAAAGGATTATTTTCTAGGAGTGAATTTATTATAATTTTCCAAAAACTGATTACCTGTATTTGGTCAACATCGCCAGTATATAGTGTAATATGGGAGCACTCTTTTTAGAGCCATGCTTCTTCCTCACCTTTTGTGCATCATGGTGCCCCTAGAAGGCAGTTGTGTCAGTATGGCACGCTGAGGTAAAAAGTCTGTTCAGATGGGAGGTTAACAGATTTGGGTGCTTTGCAGTATCCAGTCAAACTCATAATCCATCTTAGCACACCAGTAGGCCGTGGCCTGTGCAGTTCAAAGCTCAGTTTCATAGTGCTCTTCATAAGTGAGGTTTTGTGGTTTTGTAGGCAGCGTTTGGTTTTGTTCTTCCTTTTATTCCTCCCTTACATAGTCACATTTTCAGTGAGACCCTATGAGATCTTGGCATTTCACGAGTCAGAAAACAACTTAAAAAGCATCATCCACAGACTTGGAGATTTAATAGGTGCTTGTGTATATTAGATGGTTCTTACGCTGATACATGTGGCTTAGCATCCTCTTTTTGGGGGAAGGGATGAAGGAATGCCATTGACACCGTGCCTATTTAAATCCCATCACACAAACCAGAAAAATACTTACCTCAAGTATGGCTGTATTAAATACATGAAGTATAAAAATCACAGCAAGGAGGCTACAAGTCTGTCCACCTACCCCTTCACCAGAAACATTGCTCTACACTGTTTAAGCAGTGATTTGGTTGACTATTTCTGAAAATTTCTCTTTGTCCGTTGACTTTTGGCAAGACGAATAATAACAAACACCAGTATCTTTTTTTTTTTAAGATTTTATTTATTTATTTGACAGAGATCACAAGTAGATGGAGAGGCAGGCAGAGAAAGAGAGAGAGGGAAGCAGGCTCCCTGCTGAGCAGAGAGCCCGATGTGGGACTCGATCCCAGGACCCTGAGATCATGACCTGAGCCGAAGGCAGCGGCTTAACCCACTGAGCCACCCAGGCGCCCCAAACACCAGTATCTTAAGAATATCTGTAAATTGAGAAAGTTGTATGCCTTTCACCCATCGTTTCTCTTCCTTCTGAAAGGATTTAAAGTAGGTTGATTTCTGTGGTGTATGGTATCTTTATCTTCGGTTCCTGCCCTTCCCTAATGTTCAGTGTCTTTTGATTGTTAGGCCAGTTATTAGTTGTTTATAGGATTTCTTAGCCTATCAAGTGTGCCTGTTAAAATATTTTGTATCTTTACTGCAGAGTTGTTTCAGTATTAAACATTTATAACATCACTTTACTTTGGCATTCTAGCTGTTACGAAATAACCATTCCTGGGATGAGTGACCATTGTGAGAACAAATTTCTTCTTCTTCTTCTTTTTTTTTTTTTCAAATTTTTATTTAAATTCTAGTTAGTTAACATATGTAAGAACAGATGTGTTATTATTCTTGTTGCAGCTTGCACTAAAATACTGGTCTTTTCCATTCTTCTCTCCCTCCTCTACTCCCCCCACCCCAATAGGCTCTCTGTTACATGTACACAGACACAGACCTACACACTTACTTTGCTTCCCCTCCCTACCACATATTCAGTGACTGCATTATAACTTGCTTCGTGGACCAGTACTGTCTTAAATTTTTTGTATTTTTATTTTTTTATTTGACAGAGAGACAGTGAGTGAGGGAACACAAGTAGGGGGAATGAGAGAAGGAGAAGCAGGCTTCCCGCTAAGCGGGGAGCCCGATGTGGGGCTCAATCCCAGGACCCTGGGATCATGACCTGAGCCAAAGGCAGATGCTTAACAACTGAGCCACCCAGGTGCCCCCAGTATTGTCTTTAGTACCTAGGGGTAGTGTATTAAAGGCTGCTTTATTACTTGATCCCTGTTCTGTCTTCTAAGGATTATTTAGATGTGGATTTCCCATCACCACCATCCCCATTCCACATCTTTCTTCAGCCCTTTTTACTATAACAACCTCCTTTCTGACTGATCATCTCTCAATTTTTTTTCCTGTCCCGGTCCTCCAAGGAGGTTCATTGGAAATAGAGCCCATCTTGCAGAATACCTATCCCTCCTGCTTTTCACTACTCAGCCGGGAAGCTGGTCAGGCTAGTCATACCATCATCATTGACATGTATTAAGGTATAGCCATGACAGCTCATCTACTAAACAAGCAGTTGTGATTTAAGTGAATGCAACAATTTGTACTCAGAAAAAAGATGAAATAATGTAAATACTGAGCAAATCCTGCCTATTATTTGTTAGATGAACAGAAAAATCAATCTGGTGTTAGGTGTGAGCATTTTACCAAGTCAAGAGTTTTAGAGTTCATTTGATGCAGCGTGACTTTATATTCAAACTAAGTAGTTCTTTTGGTGCATTAGCCAAAGAAACCATAAACTAGCAGTGCACTAGGGGAACTTGGCTGAGTTGGACTGACAGCAGAAGCAGTTTATGCTTGTCTGAGGGCCTTGAATTTATTTACGTATTTATTTATTTAAGATTTTATTTGACACGGAGAGATCATGCCCTGAACTGAGGGCAGAGGCTTAACCTGCTGAGCCACCCAGAAGCCCTGAGAGGTTTGAATTTAAAGATAATTTTACTATGTATGATTTTTACCTTATTCCCCAATTTTAGAACCTAACCTTCATATAAGTGAGTCCATATATTCTGTCTGATATCGTTAGCTCCTACTTACTTTCTGTCTCAAACTGTACTGTAACGTACTTTAAGTGAGGGGACTTTGTATGTTTTAGTCATTTAACATATTCAGTACAGAAGTAAGTACAGTACACAGCACCAAATAGAATGGCTTTAATGTTTGATTTCTTTCTTTCTTTCTTTGTTTCTTTTCTTTCCTTTCCTTCCTTCCCTTCCTTCCTTCCTTTCTTTCAAGATTTTACTTATTTATTTGACAGAGATCACAAGTAGGCAGAGAGGCAGGCAGAGAGAGGAGGGGAAGCAGGCTACCCGCTGAGCAGAGAGCCTGATGTGGGTGGGGCTCGATCCCAGAATCCTGGGATCATGACCTGAGCTGAAGGCAGAGGCTTTAACCCACTGAGCCACCCAGGTGCCCCTAATGTTTGATTTCTTAATTTGTCCCATTGCTTGTGCAGTCGTGTGTTGCTCAGTATTTACATATTAAAATTAAATATTTAATATTTACAGTGTAGCTTTTCCTACATTATTTTATTGTTGATCTTTAGTTTTTTACCGTTGTGATGGGAAAATAATACTTGGTGTGATTTCAGTCTTAAATTTGTAGTATTTGTTAGATCTCTTTTTATGTGATTTAATCAGGGGATTCTCTGTACTTGAAGAAAATATGTATTCTGCTTTTCTTGTGAATGTTTTATATGTATATTTTAGAATCATGTATTCTGAAGTATGCTTCAAGTAAAAAATGTTCTTGTTGAAAAAGAAAAATAATTTTAACTAAGGGTATTCATTTAAAATAAATCATGTCAGAGGTGAGATGAGTGGGGGATGGGTGAAGCAGGTGAAGGGGATTGATAGTAAACTTAATCATGATGAGCACTGAATATAGAATTGTTGAATCATATTGTACACCTGAAACTAATATAACACTATATGTTAACTATGCTGGAACTAAAATAAAAAACAATAAAATATAGAATGGCTTTAAGAAGTATTTACATGTGTTTGGCTTTACAGAGTAGTGCAGTATATTCAGTTTACAGCTTTACGTTACATACGCAAACACCAAACTTAATCTTTCCTCCTGATACCACTGACCATGGGAGGCTTCTGGAATAAGGTTTTTAACCTGGAGGTGGGGTGCTGTCCATGCCTTCTGAAAGGTATATGCAAATTTTTGTGCACACTTAAAACATACGCAGTTACATGCTGTGTAACTTTCAGTAGATTCTCAAGAGTGTTCTAAAAAGGTAAAGTGTCTTGGACCTAGGCAACGGAGAAAGCAAAGAAAGCTTTCCAAAATCAAACTGGTCTTGGAAAAATCACTAAAAAGAAAACTATAAAACTCAGTGTTGTATGGATTATTGATAAAGATATGTTAGTGATTTTAAAATTTAAGGTAGACAGCATTCTTTATTATATCAAGTCAGCATCCTTAAATTCTTACAGTGAGCCTGTGTAGACCAGAAAATGACTCTTTTCTTGTAGGAAGTTTACTTACTTCAAGTGCATATGACGTAGTCTTTAGTAATTTGGCTTAATACTCTGTAGTGAAGAACTTGTTAGTAACAGTGGTAAGTTTTACACAGTAGCTGCTTTATCTTAATGCCTAATTCTGTAACTTGCATTTTTTTTTTCCTTAGCAAAAGGGCTCTAGTGTCAAAAAGCAAGTGAAAAAAAACCCTTTAATTTTATTTGAACTTAACTGTGTGACTAGCACTGACTTCAGGTGTAACATGACTGATTCTAGTAGCCTTTGTGTTGCCACAAGAGCTGTGCAATATTGAAGGAGCAGTAGTGCAATGCATTTCTGCTGTATGTGTGTTCTGTTCGCAGACTTTTGTTTGAGAGGCCATAATTTGAATTAATAATTTTACTATTCTATCTGAAATCACTTTTACATTTAAAATTTTCCCCCATTTCAGTTATATCTGCTTTAATTTTGTAGGCTGCCTTTGGGTTTGCATAAAGAACTTTATCAGAAGTATATAAGAAAGAAAATTAACAGAATTATTAATGTTTAATGATGCGATCAAAATGTTTCACAAATTGTTTTAGTGAAATACCAGTAACCCTCTAGTATTTAAGTATTTATTACTTCTGTACTTATTAAAATATTCTCATATTGATTTATTCTGGAGAGAGTGTTTCTTTGGAGAACCAAAATGTTCATGAAAGAACCTTAGAATTACTTATTTCTGATGATGGTTTGATCTATATGCTTGGAACATGTTAGGGAAAACATGCTAAGTTTTGAAACTATTAAGTTGGGAAAGAAAAACTAATATTTTTCTCTTTGTTTTTGTTTCAATTATACAGCAGATATAATTTCTACGGTAGAATTTAATCATTCTGGAGAATTACTAGCAACAGGAGATAAAGGTGGTAGAGTTGTCATCTTTCAACAGGAGCAGGAGGTAAGTGTTTAAAGTTTAATATCTAAATTTCAGTTTGCTCTTGGGGCTAGAACTTGTGTTGCACTGAAGTATCTCATCGAAGGATGTTCGCTTTTTTTTCTTTTGAAGAAGTACCTGTTTATTCAAGCAGAATATCTTAACTGATAGATAGCTCTGCTTTTCTTAGCTTTGTGTGTGTGTGTGTTTGTGTGTGTGTGGTTTTGATTTAAAAACACAGCACTTTAATTGTTAGAAGATCTGGTTACAGAAAGGAGTGGGAAGTGGTGGAATTAATCCAAGAGTTGAACTGGTTTTGAAGCCTTGGTCCCCTGTACCTGCGCCCCCCCCAAAAAAAAACTCCGTAAAGCAAAATTGCTTTGTTGTCTTCTCAGTGCCTAGTTTGCTTTGTGTAATTGGGGTGGGAGGCTAGTTTAAAGGAAAAACTGCTCACTTATTTTGATATTAGTTCATACTAATACTGTTACTATGATTTAAATCGGTTTTAAATGACAATTGCATGTATACCTATGTAATGTAATTTATAAGCTCAGTACCCTTTTTAAGATGAGTTGATTTGAAAATTGTTTCCTTTTCTCTTTGAAGAAAGGAATTTCTCATTCAAGACTCTTGAGATTAAAGTGAGTTTTATTTTGTTTGGGTATAGCTTAGGCACACTTCTAAATCTGATTGACAGGATTTCTCACTAAAATTTTATGCTGAACAGAATTTGTCACACTAGATTTTCCCTTGTTCTCTCCCTCCAGTTATAGATCAAAGTTTAAACCTTATTTAAAATAATTTGCTTTGAAACATCCTGTCCCTGTCTGTAGATCCAAAGAGGGTTAAAATAATGTGCATAAATTGCAAGGGTTTACAAATAGATGTCTAAATCATAACAGGGAGTTAGGTTTTAAAGGATTGTGAAGTTCCTTAAATAAGCAAAGAATCTAGTAATAATACTACTACTTTGCACTTCTATAGCGCCTTTGACCTGAGGATCTCAAAGTGCTTTACAAACACTAATGAATTAATCCTCACAACACCCCAGTGAGGTAGGTAATTTAATTTTAAAAGAAATGATTAATAGTGTCTGATTAGAAGATGCACAAACACTAAATATGTCTCCTTTTATTATTTTTTTGGTTGGAAGACAAGATGAAAAGACTCAAGCTTTTCTTGTCAGAGACTGTTCTTGTGGGAAGTGGGGTTGGGGGTGGGGGCAACATCAATTTTCTGTTCCTGTTTCAAGCAACTAAAATCTTGACCACAGGAATCTTGAAATACATAGAGTTGAAATGGAACCTTACAGATCATTACAGTTTCCCTTTCTTTATAAGTGAGAAAGTCAAGATACTAAGAGATCACTTGATTAGTGGCAGAACTAACAACTAGAACCCAAAACTTCTGACATGTAATCTTTTCAGTATTCTTCAGTGTCTTTCATGTTAGATAACCAAAAAATGAATGTTAATTTTGTTACTCAGAATTTGAGCTGGCATTCCCCTAAGCATTCTGTGCCCTTGAGTTTTTTTGCCCTTTTTTTTTTTTTTTTTTTTTCCTGGAAGTTAATGACTTGTCTATGCTTTGCTTCTATTCTAAAGAAAGGTATTTGGAGCTCTCGATAAATGTACTCAAGAGTAACAGTTGAAGCTGTCAGTAATACCTTAAATTGGAATAAAAGGTCTAACACGGAGTTACTTGAAACTGCTTGAACTTTACTTGTATTGGGAAACAAAATTTTTGAAGCATATAATTTCTTTGTGAAATGTTATAGGAGATTCTAAAGTACTGATACTTATTTTTAGGATTTTATTTATTTGGTAGAGAGACAGCGAGAGGGAACACAAGCAGGGGGAGTGGGAGAGGGAGAAGCAGGCTTCCTGCGGAGCAGGGAGCCTGATGCGGGGCTCAATCCCAAAACCCTGGGATCATGACCAGAGCCGAGGGCAGACCTTTAACGACTGAGCCACCCAGGCACCCCTAAAGTACTGATATTTAAAATACATGCCCTGATAACGAGAATCAGCAAAATGACTTTTTGAGAAGGGCCACTGGTACCTATCATTCTTAACTGCATTTAAGAATTCAAGACCAATTCATTATCTAGAACTTCAGATTAGTATTGTGTCCACTGAGAATTACTTAGTGTGAGTATCAGTATTTTTAAGTGATAGATTAAATGATGATGTAGTGATTGATTTCCTTCTCTGAAACTTGATCTTGTTAATATTAATATGGTGCCTGTTACCTAATTTATTTTCCACATTTTAAAGCTGTATCTTTTACTGGAGCTTCTAGTATAGTGCTTTATTCAGGACAGTCACTCTTTCCGTCACTGATACCATATGTGCTGCTTACATCTAGAGGCACCTTTATGTCAGTACCTAATATATTTAGATTAGATTTTTATGAATTCACACTTACTACATCTGTGAAACAGTGATACAGTTTGAAAAGTGGCCCTTTCCTAGTTTTTAGATAATCATAGGAAAAGTTTATATCAGAAGGCTGCATTGTTTAGTTTAATAGCAGAGCTCTGGAATTAGGACTTTGATTTCTAAATTTCAGTCCACCTTCTAACAATCACAGCTATTATGCATACATTTCAGGGCACACTGGTGCTTGTCCATGGAGTACGTCTTCACCTCTGATGATGATGCTAGCCTGCTCTGTTTGCAAAACACAGTGGCATTTGCATTATTGTCTTTATCTTCTCACCCATTGGCTGGGTGAGAACTTCACTTAACTGACATATCAGACTGATACCTTTAACTCTCACTTCTGTTGTGCTTCAAATGTGGCAAGACCCCTGCCTGTCATCCTGTTAGGTACCTCTTGCTGCCTGTCTCTCTTTTCCCCTGTCAGAGAAACTAGGTATTCATTTTGAGGGTAGGTCTTCATTCAATTCAGTATATTTCAGCCTGGTGATCCTGTAACATTTTTTGCTGTCATTCAGTAATACTTTTCTAACTCATACGTGCTTTTTTTTTTTTTTTTTTAAGATTTTATTTATTTATTTGACAGACAGAGATCACAAGTAGGCAGAGGCAGGCAGAGAGAGAGGGGAAAGCAGGCTCCCTGCAGAGCAGAGAGCCCGATGCGGGGCTCGATCCCAGGACCCTGGGAATCATGACCTGAGCTGAAGGCAGAGGCTTTAACCCGCTGAGCCACCCAGGTGCCCCTAACTAATGTGTTCTTAAAGTTTTCTGTTTGGTAGAATCTCTTGATAGAAGCAGTCATGTAGGGAAATTGAGGCACAAGGATAAGATGATTTCCACGAGGCATCCTTCCTCTTGTGTTTTGATATCCAATCAAGTGTTCATAGCATGTCCTGAAATAAGTCAACAGTCTTACTAATTTATTGTCATAGCTTGTATGTAATAGCTTTTCACAACAAAGTAGATGGTGGGATATATTTTTTGATAATGAAAATATTAATACAGTTGTTCTTGGCCGATTCCAAAGCCATGTTAGGTGTGCTTGGTTTCTGTACTTTTTAGGGGAGCTTTGTTTTTATGGGTGCTCATATTAGGTGGTTTGCAGTTGTTGAAATAGCTGGTTTTCTCTTGACTTTGGATTGCTCAGATCTTCAGTTTTCTCTAAGGCTTTCTGATGTACACGATAAGTTAAAGTGTGTGGGGAGTGATTTTTTAAAGGAATAATTAAGGAGAAAGGTGAGAAGGAGAATTTTTCCTTCTTTTCAGTTCTTCCTAGATTATTATAGCCTTTGGTTTTTGTTTTCTATGAGTGCTAGTAATTTGCTAGGATTTTTCTCCCTTCTCTGTCTCTCTCTCTCTGTTTGTTGCTTTGTGGTATTCCTAAAGCTGCTCAACAGGATATAGAAGAAACCTTAGAAATCATGCTTATCACAAAAGATGGGTGGGGGTTTAAAAGATTGAATTTTCTTTTTAAATTATTTGGAAAGACTAGAATGGGGCTCAAAATCAACAAGATGTTGCTTAACTGAATTTAACTATTAATTAAATTAACTATAACTTTGTCTGTACAAAGGAGTTGATCTAGTTTGATATTTAAGTGAAGGAATAGATCCCACTCACTGTTCTAGGGTGATGTGGCAGCATTCACTTAACGTGGTGTATTTACTGAGTGCCAATCAGAACAGCAGATTCAACAGTGCCAGTGAGGAATGGTCAAAGGGACTGAGCCTGTAATAGCTGGGAGAAGAGATGATTTAGAGTCTTGATGTTTAGAGATACGCGTGAGAAGAAAATGATTAGTTTATTTTGTATGTGGAAATAAATGCACAAGAGCTGGATGCCCTTCTATCAGGAGTATTATAGAAAGAATACACTAGAAGTTCAAGAAAATGCCACTGTGGTATCTTCCAAATCAACATATCTATTAAATGAGATTTCTTTTCTAAGCTACCAGGCTTTCACTGTCTTTTTTTTTTTTTTTTTTTTTTCCATTCTCTGTTTGACCTAAGTTTGTGTTTTTCAGAGTGCAAAATACTGGAATTACCAGGGGACGTATATTTCAGATGCAGATTCCTAGGCTGTGTCTCTGAACCACTAAATCAGAATGTCTGGAAGCATGAGATTCCACTTTTACTTTTTTTTTTTTTTTAAGTCCTTTGGGAACTTCACCGGATAGAAAATGTAAAATTGAAATTGTCTATATTCCACTACCAGGGTAATGATACAAACTCTAAAATATAGCTTCAGGTTTATATTATCTAAAAATATGTTTAAACTGTTTTCCCAAGGTAGATTTTATGATACATAGAGAAAAATGCACAAAATCACAAGTGTATAGTTCTGTGAATTTTCACAAAACAAACACACTTGTGTAGCTCTTCCCCAGATCAAGAAATGGGATATTACTAGCATATCAGAAGCCTTTTCTGTCCTTTCTTGTCACTACTACCCTCTACCAAAGCTAACTGTGAACTTGTTTTGCCTGTATTGAACTTTATATGATGCATTCATAGAAATTAAATGCTAAAATTTACAGGATTTTTCAAGGGCTCTCCATCTTTGGTGTCATGGATTTTCTCCAGC